CCCCAAAACCCCAAAACCCCAAAACCCCTAGTAGTCTTGGACTGCTTCTTCAAATCTTTAATCAATGTAAAATTTAATTCCAAAGGCTGTAATTGAGTCTAAGTCTTATAAGATTTCTCCACTTACACCAATATCTGAAAAGGTAGAGGATGAAAATACCACGTCTTAAACTTAGCAGCAATTCTTAGAATAGCTATAGAATAAGGAGAAAAGCTCTCAGTCTAAGCTAGATGAAAGTAACAACAATGATGACAGCAGCAACATCAAGAATAATATCACTAGCAGCACAGTCATTGACAATCATCAGAGCTTGATAAGCGACATATTTAATAAAGAGGCCCCTTCAACTGAGGTACAATAAATTGCTGTTCCCACTGAGATTAGAAATGAGTCCTCAGAGGATGCAGAGGATCAGGATTTAGATGTTGAAATTGATGAAAAAAGTGATACAATTGCTAATGAACCTGATAAAGAAGTTAATGAGGAGTTGGATTATGAAGAACCTTTGCAGATTAATACTTAAGTTAGAAAGAGTAGTAAATATCAATGCATAGTGAGAGTAAGTTTCATTCATGTTTTAAAATAATCTATAGATTGAAAATGAATAAGATCAAAATATTAGGTGCGATATATGCTTGCAGTATTAATCTGAGGATTAAGATCAACTAGTTATCTGCGAACTTTGTTTAGTCTCTGTGCATCAATCATGTTATGGACTTGATTTAGAAAAGAGCATCCCCGATCATGAATGGTTTTGTCAGAGATGCTAAGATTTAACGAAGAATCCAAAGCTAAAACCAGACTTTATAAAATGTGGGGTATGTCCTAATTTAACTGGCATCCTTGTTAAAATTTAGAAGCCAAATAGTTTGAAGATATAATGGGCTCATCCTATTTGCATAAATTGGAATAGATCTTTAAAGTTCGAGTACTATCCAGATAAAAATGCATTAGTTGGAGACTTCAAGGAGTTCTAAAAAAAGGTCTAGAGACTTGAAGAAATTTCCTGCTACCAGTGTTAGAAGCATGAGGGCTATAAGCATCTTTGCGATTATCGGAAATGCACAAAAGTTTTGCACATTTAATGTGCTGCTGATAAAAATATCATCTATGATTATGAGTAGATGATTTAAGAATAATTGCTGTCAAAAGAGAAGTTCAATTAGGTTTATATATTCTGCGAGGATCATAAGAAATTAGGGGAAAGGATATTGAAATCCAAAGAGTTGACTTTGATTGATAGTAATTTAAGGGAAAAAATTTGTAGTAAAAACCCTCTTGATGTTTTGAAAAGGTTCAATCCAAAGCTGTCCCAAAAATAATAAAGCAAAGCAGATGGGTTATCATCAAATGCAAGTCCAATTGATCTGAATAATTAGGTTGCTCAACTATTGCCTAAAAAACGAGGACGCAAGCCAGGCACAAAATTGGTGAATAAGAAAGCAGTTTTGCCAGGGCAATAAACTTTAGTCCTAGGAAATGGGAATTCAAGTAACTTACTATAAGTTAAAGCCTTACTAAAGGAGAGAAAGAAAAGAGGAAGAAGGTCATAAGCCATCATAAATGAACTTCGAGAAAAAGCAAATAATGAAATTGATTAAAATGACATCCAAACTGAACCAGTGGTAAGTGAGGAGGAGATTGAGGAGGAAGAGGAAGATAATTTATCTGAAAATGAAGAACCTAATAAAAGATAGAAGGTATCAACAGTCTAGCCTATGCCTTTGCCTACTGCTTAAATCAATGACTAGGCCAATACAAATGCTCAGCTAAACAACATAAATCAGATATTTTGCTAATAGCTCTAACAATTTCCTCAAATAATGCTTTAAAACAACTAAGCAGCTTTAGGCTAAGCACTCCAATAGCAAATAATTTCAGCAGCTTCCCCTTAGACTGATCCTTTCAATGATATAATGACTAACTACTAACTTTAATAGTAGATGCAGTATTTCATGCAAGCCTAAACTCAACTATAACAGCAGTACTAGCTAGCCTTCAATTAATAGCAAACTCAACTATAAAATCAAACTCAATTAAACTCAATCAAACTGAAGGACAATCTAGCGTCAGTGTTAAATTCACTAGGCCTAAATTTCAATGGAATTAATATATAGCAAGTAGAAAATTTCATTATGGCTTTGGGTATTTAGGCATTTTTGGAGAGAAGAGATAAAGTTGAGGAAAAGATCAAATTTTAGAGGCAAAGTCATAGTGAATAATAAGTCAATGTAAATCAGCAAAGCTAAGCCAAACCTTAGTAGCAGTAGTAAGTATAACAATAACAATAGCAAACTCCGATTGTTGAACAAAAATTATAGCAAACAGAAAAGCCAAAGTCAGCAAAGAAACAGGCTTTGCCAGAGAAAAAACCATTAAGAGTAATATCTAACTAGCAGATATTTAACTCGACATTGGTAGAGCCAGTGAGAGTTGCTGATTCAATAATAAATGAGGAAGATAATCAGCAGCCAAATGAGTAAAATGTTGGCAATTAAAATGCTTAACAATCTAGTATTGAGATACCAGATGCAATAAAGAGTTGTGATTAGAAATAAAATAAATCAGATTAACCTATTAATTAATAAGAATGAATTTCTAGTTCTGCAAAACAACAGACACAAATTTAGTTGCCGAGTTAATAACAGCAATAATCTCTTGAGACTCCATAAAATATACAAAAGAAGAAGATTCTATTAAAGACCTAATAAAAAGATCAGGTAGTGCAGCAAAAGGAACTAAACCCAGAAACTGAGATCGAAATGGAAGAGTTAGAGGACCCTGATGACAAATAATACTCTGTTAGCTAGGATCTGTATCGTATATTGAGATTCGTAGAGGAGCTTATCGAGAAGGCTCTGATTAAGCAACAGTAAGAGGACCCTAAAAACAAGATAGACATGATTAAGAAGATATTTGTAAATCCTAACGGAGTCTTCAAGCGAAGTGATATTGAAAATAGATTTAAGCAGTTGCTGCGCAGGCTAAATGCTTATGATGAAAAATATGATGTTTATGAGATAGCCAAGTCATAGATACTAGTTAAGGTCTTCAAAACAGATGCTAAGTTTAGAGATGATCAGCTGTGGACTAAACTTCTAAGCGAGAGATGCACATTAGCCAAATGAAAAATATAAAATATATAAGATTTTCCATAAATACTTCACTGCTTATCAAATCTTATTAAGTGTCAAGGGGTTTTGGGGTTTTGGGG